TCATATAAATATCATCTAAGATGTAAATACTGATGAACTGATGTCCTATGACAGACATTAGCCCACTCATTATTCATGGTAATAGTTCTATAATGTAATACAGCGACATAATCTCCCCATAGACCAGCTATTTGATCATTTTGATAATTTTTCAGATATTCATACGAGTAGTTCCCACGCTCCGTTTGATGAATGAAGAACATTCTTTTACTTCCTTATGTTCTGTCGCAACTAGACTTTTCTTCTACCCCATTCGTCGTCATCCTCTTATGCACAAAAGGGAGTAACATTTGTTGTAATCAGTTCATTTCTAAAAGCAAGTAATACGAGGTGTTTCTGACCGGAAGTTCCTTTGGAGAATGATCCGTGTATCCTCCACCTGTGTACATCCATGTATCTATGTGGTAGGGATCTAACTTTGGTGGTTTGTTATTGGGCACCCCTTCTTTATACAACACCTTTCATCGTAGGAATCGACGCTTTTTGGATCGTCAGGCATGCACTCCCAACACTGAGGCAGCCAACTCTCTTCCGTCAGATTTTCATGTGTAATGGGAAAGAATTGTTATTGAATGTGATCCCCTCTTGATCATTATGTGGTCCGTTATGAGAAAAATGATATGAATGAAGTTTTACGTCCTATTTTCCTGCATTGCGTGAGCTAATGAAAACGGGCCCCCAATCGCAATCAGCATCTGATGATTTATAGAAACGTCTATGGACTCAACTACCCTAAGATTGTGTTTTTCATTATGCTGAGTTTGAATGGCAATTTTATTTGGACTTGATGAACCTGAATGAATAATGTTATTGATTGTGATTGAAAACTGGATAAAATAGATGAAAAACCTGAAAGAAGGAATTTATATATTATGAATAATGGAGACAATAGTAGATTAGATAGATTTGTCTTAAGACAATAACGTGTTGATTGAAATATAAATATTTTCTGATTCACCTATATCCTTTACTCCTACATAGATAAGAAAGAATGAAGACATGATTTTGCAGATTTAAAACGTGTGGAAGATTAATAAAATCTGTTATATTAAATTTTTTTTTAGAATTTCGTGTCCTGTCTTCTTTTACAGATGCTGCTTAAAAAGGCTAGCGCTAGCAAGTACACAGTAAAAACATTTACCAGAACAGTAGTCTGAGAGATAAAGAAATTGCTAATTTTGGGCTGAACCAATATTCAATATTGAAGAAATTAAGTTGGTCTTGCTGATTTCAATGAATTTATATTTTTTAATATGAAACATCCCTCAATACACTGTGCAGTAAATTCAATAACACCAAGTTAACTGTATTATTGGATATAACATATGCGCAACTGCTTTCTCGATTTTCAGATATGTTTAAAACAATATACACTAAAATAATAATTACACGATTCTGGTGTTATAGATGTATTGAGAGGAGACTTGGTGAAAGCACTGACCTGGGTCACGTAACACAAGTTATTATTTATATGTAAAAAACCAATCTGATTTAATGCAGATCTGATTGTTTCGTTTCGTGATTTTTCTGCGGGTTACTACATGTGCCATCAATGATCTGTCGAAATATTTCTTTTAAATGTGTTCAGTGTACTGCATAATTGGTTATCATAATTGATGCTAACCAATGAAAAAATGAAAAACACTGTTAAAAATGTTTGAAAATTCGCCTGGGAATTTTTACACGATATATTGTGTACACCTTAATATAACACCAACGAATACCAAAAGGCCAAGTCAATTGAGTAATTGAAAACGGATCAACATCGCAAATCATATTACACTTGACATGATATTTAACAATTTAGAAACCTGTAGACCCTTGCCAAGACTCTCAGACTTTTTAGCACAGTCCCTCAGATGCAGTCGCTCAACAAAAGGTTTTGTAATAAGGCCCATTTCAATGCAGTGCAATGTAAAATGTAAAATTATACAGTTTAAATGTAAATTGAGTTGTGAGATATTTTTTAAGGCATGGTTTATTTTTCAATCATTTCTCAAAAGTCAAAGACACTACATAATGACAGCAATGTAATGCACATCTTTCCGTCTATCAGATGAAAGAGACCTTAAGCGGGGAAATTCCTTTTCACCTGTCAAAGATATAGATCAAAGACATTTGACTTTCATTATCAGCCTTAAGAAGTCACAACAACAAAAGAAGGATACAATTTTTTTTTATATATTTGAAAAGTTCTTAAACAATAAACAATGAAACGGACGATCTATAAAACTTTTTATAAGAATAACAATGGATTTCTGTTTGAAAATATTTCAATATTGTCAGGGAATAACAATTGACTTTGAAACACGGTGTTAATCTATTTATTGACTGTTTCAATCAAAGTGTTAATGGACAGTCAGGGCCAGAAATAATACTTCGTTACTATTAGTTTATTATAATAGTTTCATTAAATCATCCGCTATATTATTATAATAAATATCAGTGACTGAAGATCACACAGCGTGAAACTCTGTGTAACACCATGTTTCAGTTTCTCTTTTATTATTTCTATAACTCTATATAACTATATATCTTACAGTCAAAATATTTTGTTATAGAGTTTAATGTAACCCTCGATTAGTTTTCAGATTGATTGTACGACTTCAGCACTGTTAAGAAGTCTGACCTCTGTGCGTCTAATTTCCCCGTGTCATTGATGCAAACGTTGGCCTCTATTATGCAGTCCCTCTTAGTCTGCGCACAGCTGATTTAATTATTAAATTACATCCAAATTTCTAAAGCGCACACACAAATACCGAGGTTCCCAGTACGTTAAGTTTTGATAATCATCTTTTTCTTGGTATCAAGGACTAAGTGACACCCATTACGCCTGCATCGGGCCCTTCTATCCAATTCTAATTCTGTAATTGGGCTCTGATACGTTTGCCATAAACCCCCCTGTAAATTATTTCTCTTGCATAAGCAACGTTTTTAAAAAGGCCTCCAATCGCAATTTAACTCCGCTACGTCTGCAATGGGTATTACTTCAAATTGTAACTTTAATTTGTCTGCAATAAAGCCATCTATCGCAATTAAACATTGTCTTCTTCAAAGCTTGAATGTGTCTACAATAGTAGTATTTAATTCAAATGTAATAGTTAACTATTTTAGGAAACAAATTATTTTGTCGAACCAGATTTGTCATGGAGGCGTTCACTTTCTCTTTGTGAAAACACCGATAATTTTAATATGTTCTGTCAGTTCCAGGAATAAGATGATTCACATTCCATATAAAGACAGGTTTATCCAATAATGGTTGGCACTAACTCCAATCGGCCTGATAACGCTGCAATAAACTACAGCAGAAGATGGAATTCAAATCCAATCCTCTATCTGTGATTGAATTATTGTAATATAGTGGAGATTATGTCGGAGTACATTAGGAACATGTATTTATTCAATTTGTCATGTTCAATGTAGGTGTTATTCAATTTTTAATCTACGGTGGTTTCGTAATAGATAGAAAATGGAATGAAAAGAGCAATGATGTACTTTATCCGAAGTGGGTCAGCACCTAAAAGGAATGTCATTGTTACAGAAGTATCGGCAGCGAACTTACTGAACGAAGTAAGGTATCTAGTTACATCGAACCCCAATTTACCCCTTCGCTGAAGTGTCACTGACCGTGCAAGTTGAATATAATGTCTGTTTTGTACAAAGACATGATTTATCCTATAACAACGGCTCTGCCACGTCAACTGCAATTATTTTTCTTTAAGAATATGCGTATCAGACAGAAGTCATTTATAACACACAAAAACAAATAAAAAACAAAATCTGTAAATCAACCAACAATTTTAATTGGAATCGTTAAAATTAAACAATGTGTAAGTATGCAATTCAAATATTTCGATATTCCGACGCGTTGATGTGTTAATGTGTTAAAGGGATACAGGAAGTTTTCTTTCTATTCCACGTGTATCGGGAGCGCATGAATTGAACCTAGCCGATATTCTGTTCGACATTAATTTATGGACACTATAAAATTTAACTAAATTTTAACAACACTATTTCAAATACTTTGCAATAGGTGAGATTGGAATAGTACCAAAAGAAGCTATAAATATCCCCGATACACATACAAGACCAAGGAAACATCTTCCAAATCCCTTTTCAGTAACCTTTGTCTGAGTTAACATGGAGCACTAAAAAAAATATTTTCTGAATATGAGACGAGACAATGAGATAGATTGATGATGAAGTCACGTGTGTTTACCCTGTTTTACATTGAGCATCATTTACTTGATAACGCATGGAGATGATTTAATAATATTTTGTTTTGTCATTATCATGTTTTTCACTGCAGTCATAGTTGGTCTGTATTACTTCTTTCTTAAATCGTGTTCAAAACTGTATTACATAGGGATATATAAATTAAAAAAGGTTTCTTTAAGAAGAAGTACAAGATCGTTCAATGTTGAAAATTCCACACAGGTGACAAATAAAATAATGAGTAAATCCACAAAATTAAAAGTTAACACATACAAATCACCAGTTACCGTCGTACATAATTCAACCATAAAGAAAAACGAAACGAAACATTCCATTGATGATGTCACAATTTAATATTTCTTTTCAATTCACAAACGAAGAAAAAAAGAATCACAATCGATAAATTTAAAATATCATAAAAACGTAACACGGGGATCACATGTTCACATACAAGACGTTTTGACACCATTCGGTATCTTCTCGTTTATTTTGTAATCAGTATTATTATCACAGAGCGCCGAACAATGTTCGGAAAGTTTGGGAGAGTCTTTAATAGCAAACCTTACCCTCAGTTTATACCCATTTTTATTTTCCTCAGTTATAATTGTAGCCGGTGATCTGAGGCTGGTGCGTTCGTGGGAACCGCTACTGGACGTGGATGAGTTCTCTCGATAGCGTGCAGAATGGCGCCGTTTGGTTCCGTGTAAGGAATGATAATCTTCCGTTGATGACATACACTCGCTTAATCCATTGGTTTTAAAACTGATGGTACGATTGTTATTGGTTAACTTGTTAGGACAGAAAACTTCCAATAAACCACGTTTGAGTTTTATATTAAAAAATCCGTACCAGAGAGGGTTTAAAGCACTTTGAAATAAAGCTATGGTTTCCACAAATGCCATCACAGTAGCGGGAATTTTATATGTGTAATTACTGTAGATTTTTATTAAAGTTGCTACGAAGTATGGAGTCCAACAAGCAATAAAACTAGCAATAATGGTAAAGGTCATTTTTATGGTTTTAATTTTAGCTCGTGGAATGGCCTTTTTATCTGCAATAGAGCGTCTTAAAGGACAAGTGTTGTCCTTATTTCCAGCAGCAATTTCTTTTCCTTGTCTCCAAACCACTAATACAAGATTTATGTAAAAATAAGAAATCAAAATGGCGGGTATCACAAGAATATACACAGTCATAAATGTGAAGTAAACTTTTCGTTGCCACCAAGCAGTATAACCACGTGATCGGCATCCATATTGAATCGTTCCATCCGTATGAAGGCCATCTTCTGTTTGTACAAAAATTAACAACTGCGGAAGAGCGAATATGAACGCCAACACCCAAGATACGGCGATCATTCTTTTCGCTCTAGACGTAGTCGCACGGTAACTTAACGGTTTACAGATAGCCATATATCTATCAAAGCTCATGGCAGTTAGTATAAAAGTCGTACTCGCAAGTGTAACAATCTGCATGTACGTCAACATTTTACATGCGGCTGGTCCCAACACCCATTCACCAAACGCAACAAACAGAATTTCCGTAGTCATGGTACAAAAACACACAGCTAAATCTCCAATGGCTAGATTGATGATGAAGATATTGACCCTGCTATTCCGTTTACGGTAACGACTACACGTAAGCACAATAATAATCACCGTATTTCCCACTAGCGTTAATGCCATAATAAACACAAGGGACGCAACTCGCTGTATCACATCCGGTGTCCATATTTTACCGGTAACGGGAGTAATCCTAGAACAGTTGATTTCTGTAGTTCCGGTGGAGCACAAACTTGTGTTGGATATCAACGTCAATGTTAACCCTTTGTACTCGCTTTCATTAAGGGCCATATTTCATAGCCTCTCGCGGTCATCTTCGAATGTCTGTCATTTCCAATCTCAGAAATGAAATATAACCATTTAAATGAGCACTAAAACTAGCCATAGCTTCTAACGTCTACTTGGAATGGCTTCAATTTCAAATCTCTGCAATGAAAAATGAATTATATAAATGTGCATTACGAATCCTAACAACCCTAATAATAGTCATAGCTTCTAGCGGTCATCTTCGAACACCCGCCATTACGAATTCTGCAACGACATTAATTTATGAGCATTAAGACCAGTCTATCGTGGAATCTAATTGGTCATTACGGTGAATTATTTACTATAAATACACCACTCGTTACTTTCATCGTTCCTTAATGATTCCCTAACATCTATTAATCGTTAACTCCAGGATCTCATATTCTTACTTTCTAGTCCACAGTTCCGACTGTCACTAATGAATAACGAGCTATGGTCAGTTTGAAGGTACATCACAGCAGGGTATCATCAGAATGATTTATGTACATGCGTGAGGTAGCTTTCTCGAGGTCATTAGTGTACAGTTTGATAAACTGGGGTTCAGCACAGAAGAAAATGGCGATGAATATGCCTTCGCACTCACGGTAACAAACGCCCACGGCATAAACCGCAAAATATCCTATACTATCCTATTTTTATATCGACGTATAAAAAAAAGTGTCGTGACATTCAAGATCCAAGGATAAGGACTTGAAGCTATTGTTTGTCACAATCGTTCAGTCCAGTTCAGTGTCTATGTCCGTATGTAATTTCATACATATATGTACTGTTCTTTCTTAGACGTTATATGATGGCGATGTTATAATAATGTTGAACTGACTCAAAGGCTTTGAAGAAACATTACCGGTTCAAGGATTGTGGCGTAGAATCGACAATGTTTTACCGGTTTAATTCTTTATCTTTTAGGATTTTAAAAATCAGCTAAACACAACCTTAATCCCCAAGGCAAATCTGGAAAAAACTGGAGGAAACTTTTGCAAGATTCAGTAATGTCTACATAATTCAATTCACTTATCACCAAGGGTAATTACAATGTTAGTGAAAATTTTCTCCAAATTTAATCAACGAAGTTTCAAAAGTTGACGGCTCAAGGACAATCTTCATTATAGTTCTTTCAGAGAGCTCATCTAACGCAACATAACAATGTCATCATAACACGTTCGTAATTGTTGTCAACAATGAAGAAATTTGTCACTTGAAATATTATTTGAACCACTCCTGACTTGGTGGCATTTTGTGGTTTTCTACTGAGCAAGTCGTGACATATCAATAGTCAATTGAACCCTGAAATCTTATATTCAGATTGACATAATGTGTTAAATTGAAAGCTATATATGTTATAGTCAATCTGTGAAATCAGCCATTTCATGAAATGCCTGAAATTTTTAGCCTTTTCATGAAATGACCAATTCACTCAGCCATTTCATGAAATGGCTAAATATTTTAGGCTTTTCAGGAAATGGCTAAAATATTGCTCCAGCCAATTCATGAAATGGCTATACAATCAAATGTCAACATGTTTAGCTTGCTGATTTTTGTTTCGGGCCGATCATCGTATTAATGTATGTATTAATGTATACATGATGGATCCACTTTGCGATTGAGTGTGTCAATGCGACAAGCATTCATATTTCCCAAATTTTGCATGAATTTTCGAGTTCTATTATAGACTACAAATGACGCATGTTGGTGCTATTAAAAATATGCCGAGTAACCAATTGCGTTACATTACAGATTGACGTCGCATGTCAATAAATTGAACAATCGAATGCACATATCGTTGTTTCTTATTTAAGTCAATTGGAAGCAATCCTCCTTCTGCTCTTTTTTGGTCTAATGGAATACAGTATGGTGTACACTTTTTGTGGGTGAATGAAATGAATAATGCCTAGATTGTTCCAGCATAAAGCAATTATACTACACTTCATAATGTCCTGAATGAATTCTTAAACAGGCGGTCATCAATTTAGATCGACAGCAGAATATATTGACAATGTCACGAACAGTCAGAGGCAAATTCTATTAATACACTTAATCTTCAATAAGATATTGAAATACCATATAAATGCCTGCTTTGTGACATTTATATGATGCGTCGTATTATTACGTCTATCACGAATGGCCATTACGCATTGGAAATCTCCATAATATTGAGGAGACCATAGAATGTCAAGGCTATAAGCCCGAGGGTAGATATATCACTTCGCATTAATAGAAATATATAGAACAGTAATGCTCAATGATCTCTTGTAGTAATTATTAATGATATTCGATATGCTGCACAGAAACTGATTGAATTCTTATTAGACTCCCACATAACTACTGAAATTTGAACAAGACAAATTATGCTGAAATCCTACCCATCAAGAATGCAGGTTGTGGAACAGGCAGATTGAGACCACGCAGAATACAAAATATTCAGAGAATTACATGTAAGAAAAACCTCTTCTGAATCTAATTTTATATTGTGGAAGAAAGGTCCAATTTCGAAACACAGTATATATATTTCTTGTCTAGTTTTGACGTACAGACATATCAGATGTAGAAATAAAGAACATGCTTTTAATTGGTTTTATCTTTAATTAATCAGTAGTCTTATCTGGTGCTGTGGCTTTATTTTTCCTTACAGACTTAAAGAATATTCAATGCTGAAGGAACCATTATGGTTTATATCACGTAATCGTTAACGTAAACAGACACTAGGCTATTAAAAATCAATGATTAACTTGTACTTGTATGTAATATCTTACGTATAAGTACATTTACCTAGATATATACCTAGGTACATGTATTGTTATTGTTATTATTAAATATTATCTCAAAATATCAACTTGTCATTCTTAGCTGGGTAAACCACACCTCTATTAAGCATTACCCCTTAGTAAGCCATTTTGAGCATTCCCTTGACTGGCTGCTTAATACAAGTTAGACTGTACCTTAGAGTCTTCATTTTATCGTCAACTGAATCTGATTTTAATGTTACTGGATGTGATTGAATGCCGGTTTATCGTTACCAAATTCCACTAAGCTCTCAAAACACCATAAAAGGTAAGGAGAATGAAGTCAATAGCTTTATACACCAGTTAGTCGTGGTTTTATTCGGCAGTAAAGAAAAAACCTTCAATGTTTGTTCAGTTTGTAGGAAACATTACATCTGTCTAAATTTGACCAGACTGATTTTTTTAAATTCCCAGGAAAACCAAATTTTCAAAGTGTGCTTGATTAACAAATAACTTTTCTGAAATATCAAAACTTCAAAGAGACCGAACTTATTGGACTGATAATTTGAAGCTTTCTATATCCTTATATTATTGATAAATTTATTATCAGCCAATTGCAGAAAGGCTCATATAACTGTTAATTTAAAATATAGGTCTAGACACTTGAACACTTAACTTCAATATTCCAGCTGTAAGTGACTATAAAAATATTCTCGATTTTCTTAATGCGAAATAACCGTGGGAATATCATGATCTCTACTTACAAACTGACGCCCAGACGATATGAAGGATATCAGTTTATGAAGTGGACCACATTCTGAACAATAAGCAAATGTACAGATGTATTTTGTTTTACAGTCTCGTCTTAATTAGCCTAATCAGGTACAAAAAAAGGGGGATGTAATACCCAATCATTTCATTTCCTTTTTCCAGCAGTCGTTTTGTTATGCTTTTCACACTATCAAAGTAAGTGAAACACATAACTGTTTTACAACTAGAAAAGATGGGTTCAAAATAAACTTAATAGCCGCCTTTTGAAAAATTTTTGGTGGAGTTATCCGCAAGGGATGGAAGCGTTTGTGTATGACTTACAAATCTTAATCTTCTCCGCAATTTTTAAATGCATGGCCTGATTTAGTGTTGCATGCTCATGTTTAAACACTGTATTCCAGTGGAAGAAATAAAGATTGTCTCGCCAACGCTATCAAAGATTCCACATTTTCTGTACATATCATGGCGTCGGGGGAGGTCTTTATCCTGGCCTGAAGAACCATTGTATATATGCAAAAATTTTCCCATTATATTAAAAGTGAAAGTAGAAGAGAGATTTTGACTTTTTATCTTTATTCATATTTTGATATCTTGGGTATTATTATTTTATATACCTAATTTGATTGAAGAATAAAATTCCATGTAGACTCCGCAGAGTCCTTTAATTTGGTGTCCTTTATCGTTTTAAATCAGCCATCAGGGGAATACTTTGTTCAAAAAGATTCAGAACAGACCAAAGTGGAAAAACTATTATTAAAAACTAATTACCACTCCAGGTTTTCAGATTTCAATAAGATTAATTGCGGCGCGGAGAATTTCTCAAGAGGTTTATCTTTCGTATATTTCAAAAGAAAATTTCTAATTTCATGCTATTCTTAGACAAAAATTCTTTAGAATTGAATAGAATTTCATAGAAATATAACCCAAGTATCACAGAAAGAGTGTCTGAAATAATCACCCATCATTAATAATGTATATAAAAAGCAAGGGAGAAAGAAACGACATTGTCATTTAATTGTGGCTTTATGCATAAGATCATTAGCATGAACAATTTTTAAAATAGCCGAGTACAAATTATACTTTATTTTATATTACATCCCCAGACAATATTCCAAATAAAAATATCACCGCTTGTCCCCAGTAGCATACATCCTGTAAAATGTTAAGGGAAAAGAAAGTTACTCATTCTTCAGTAAAATTCCATGTTAAGACGACAGTTGAGCAATACAACGAAATAAATCGGAATAGAATTTCTGTACAGATTTCCAAAAATAGGATTTCATTGTTGAAACTTCCGTTCCAAATATAAAGCTTAGATTTTTATTCTCTAGTGTGGGTTTGCTA